ATTTAAATGAGATAAATTTGTTAATTATGCCAAATTAAATGTTAATTTTATTTGTTAAGTAAAGTATCATCTTTAAGTGCTTATAGGGCTTCATCTGTGGGAAATCTCGCCATAAACAACCTTTTTTCAAGATTCGAACGACTTGCTCATTTTTTTAATTTCACAGGTAAATAATAATCACAGGTTTCAGTAAACCGTCTTTTGGGCATTTTGAATTAAAAGTACAAAAGATCACCTGTCACTAGTTTTCCTGAGAAATTATATTCGAAACAATTTAAATCTACAATGAAATAAGCATTTAAATTCAAAATACGCGGTGCGAAATACAGTTTTGACAAACAACATAGAGTGTTGCATGAAAGAGAAACCGCATTGAGGGAGTGTGATAGCAATATCCGCCATTATTTGCCACGTAAAGTCTATAGAAAAATTTTGGTTGGTTCACATTATATCCAGACTGTATAAAACAAAATTGACACGCAAATGTCAAATTTACACGTAATGTTGCCAGCTGTTTTTTTTCAGTATTGTACCTAAAATACCGATTCGTTGAATCGTTACTTTTTATCTATATTAAGATTAATTCTAAAAATTAAGGATTGATTATTATATATTAGGCATTTATTGTGTGAAAGTTATCGTATTGTAACCGATAACTGATCCATTGTTGAAATATCTTGAATAAAAAATAAGATTTAGGGGTCTGCGAGGAAGGCCTTTGTTCAGCAGTGGATTTTAGTGGATGATTAAAACAAAAAAAACTAAAGTTATAATAAAACAAGATTTAATAGAACAACCTTTTTTAGACAATATATCGAGAAAATTTATATATCATGATGCGCAGAATGACTAAAACTAGTCGTCACATTTCAAGCGTTTTTGGTTGAAGCCTTAAGGCCTTAACTTTCGAGAGGCGTGAGGTGACTTATATTTAGTCTGTATGGGTGGACTGAGTGAAGTGGTTTTTATTCGATTTATTTAAAAGAAAAGGTTTGCCGTTTCTCAATTTTTTGAAGTAATTCATAATATATTTTATTATTTTTACCAATATATTTCCTATTATTGAAAAAAACTTATTGTTCTTGTTTCACATTTAAAGAGATAAAGGATATGCCTCCGGTTAAAGATGAAACGATAAGAGAAATTAATTGTTTAGATATAAACATAGTTGAGAAGAGTCCAGCAAAGAACAGTGCTCTGGTAGATGTAAGAGCTTGTAATAAACCTGCCACCAAGGTAAGTTATACAGTAAGTAATTCTGTTAATGTACTTTTTGATTGTATTAAAAAATCTATAGAGTAGTTTAGATTATAAATTTTGGAGCACACGTTATAAAAGTTTTAAGCAACATAATTATACTCATAGAAACATCACTAACGTGCCGTAACAAGTTTCTATGTACACAAACATGAACATTATTTAATGAAACCTATATTATAAATAATATATAGGTAATGAAAGCTATGTTATAAATAATATTGCTTTCATTAGCTATAAGCTTAATAGATTTCAACTTTAGTATAAAGTATACTTTTATAAAAAATAGGCTTAATAAGAAATGCTAATGATCTGTGATGTAAGTGGTTTTGTACTTAATATATTTTTTTGAATTTTGAATTTTTTTGAATTTAAAAACATTGCCCTCACTTTAGGATAACATTATCCTGTGTTGTAGGGACGTTTTACAAACATAAATTTCACGCGGACAAACACCCAGATGCGAAACAACTATCTGTGGGTCACACAAATAGTTGTCCCGTGTGCGAATCGAACCCACGACCCCCAACGCTGAAGCCAATACCTTGGCAACTGCGCCACGGAGTCATTGAATATGATCATAAAGATCCATAAATAAATAGTATGACTGTTAAATCCGAATTTGAAATTCCAAATATAGAAAATGACAGGCAAAAAAAATTTAGTAAAGAGAAATAAAATAACATACTTTATGACTTTAGAATTTATTTCTATTGCGGTTTCCTTACCCAAGCCTGGTACCAATATCTGTAGTAAAATAATGTTTGCTTTCCTCAATTTTCCACCTACCTTAGGGATGTTCTATTCAAAAATATTTGTTTGCACATTTAAAAAATTTGTGTGTTGCTAAACAAGTATTTTGTATAAAAGTGTGAATTAGATAAACCCTTTTAAAATAAAAGCAACATGTTAATGTTTTTATTTATTCTCATTTCTAAGTTCCAGTGTTAATTGAAGTGTTATAATTATGTTCATATAAAATTAAGTGAATAATAAAAGAAGATGAAATGAAGATTTTAAATAATAACTTTCAGAGATGGCTTTCATATTAAATGATAACCACGCCCATTGACATTTGCAACACCTGTAAGGTTGCAGATGCACTGCTAAGTTCTAATAAAGTGGAACCCTGCTACCTCACCACCAGACTAAACACAGAAGTTTAACAATTCTACTTTTCTCCAGTCTTCTGTCATACTGTTGTTATACAGTTAATATATCCATTTCGTTTCCACTCTAGTTTCGGGATCTGGTTTTGAATGGACCATACCAAATATCATCAAAATAATTGAAATTTTGGTAGTTTTGTTATTTAAACCATTTAATTAGTTAAAATTATGTTCTGTCTGAATAATTATATGTAGTAATGTCCTTTCTAAAGCTTTATTGAGGTATTATTAGAATTTCTTCTTTAAGTTCCTAGATATGTTTTGTGGCCAAACTCCATAAGACTGATATATATATAAATATAACTGCCTTTTACTTTTATTGTGTTAGATGACGTAAAACAAAATTTGAAACATATATTAAAGGAGAAATGTTTTGTAATTGTATGTACACTACATACAACAATATATTTTAACCCTTTATCATCAGTAAATATTGTTTCGTCACATTTCGGTTTCAGTCAGATTGGATAGCCCCAATACATTACAGTTTAACAATATATTTATGTTTTCTAAATGTACATCTTTGTCAAGATAACTTGTTCCCATTCTGCAATTTTTATCTTCAAATACAATAACGCCTGTAATAAAAAATCCTATCTCACACTATGTGTGTACACAACTGGCGTCGCACGACAGTGTGAAAGCAGTTTTGTCGCACATTAATCTTAGTCAACTTTTATAGTTATTTTATTGCATATTAGAATCCATTATCTATTTTTCTACCTACCCAATTTTTTAATTCCATCTCTAGAATGCCAAACATTTAGGATTTCATTAACCATTGCAAAAATAAATAAAATAAAAGAACTCTAACGCATAACATCTTAAAACATTTTTATTTCAATTTGATCACAAACTATGAAAGACTCCTCATGATTCTGTTTACCAGATATAGTCATTAATTTTTTTATAATGCAATTTAAATATTTGTATTTATAGCCAGTCATATTATTTCACTTAATATTATCTTATGATAATACGAAAAACACTACGGTTGTACGCACGCATAAAAGTAATACACGTAAGAATAAATGTTTTGAATTATTTTTATAATGTTCTGTAATCTTTTTGAACTTTCGTTCCTTAAATTTCATTCGTCCGACCGTATACGTACTATTTAATCGTAATTTTCGACATACTACGTATTAAGGCAAAAATCAATAGATTTCGTGAGAAAAATTTTATAGTGCTATAATACTTCTCAGAGACGAATGACCTATTTAAAACTGTAAATCGATTAGCATTAGATTTCGATAGACGACATTCCGCTTTTTGGTTTACAAGAAGTAAAATTATTGTTTTGCTAAGAGCTGAGGGTAAAACATGTCAATAAACATTAAACTTTATATTATAGTCTGTCCACTTACTGTCGAGAATTTTAAAAATTAATTGAAAACATTAACGTATACATTTTTATTTCTTTAGCAAACGTATCAAGCATTATTTGAGGGGTCATACCCCACGAGCACGCGTTTCCGGCTGTAAGAAAGCTCTTCAAATATATATTATCAAATCATTGGCCTCCCCATCATTGAGAAAAAAGGGGAGACAAACTAAATAAAATGTAGTTAACAAATACAGCTCTTATGAGTAGCTTTAAATTTGAATTTGAATAGCATTAAAATGCCGTCATAGTCAATTCTTCCAGTAGTTCTAATAAAATTACTTTTAATAACCAACTCTAGCCACGCCTTTGTTAAACTTGTCATGGAGTATCTGTTAGAGTTTAAAGTCAAACATAATTTGTTTTTAACCGACTTCAAAAAGGAAGAAGTTCGCAATTCGATTGGTATATTTTTGTATTATATAATTTTTACTCTACATATTTTATTATTTGCGTACACAGTTTTTACGATGAATATATTGAAATAAGCGATAGTGAATAACTCGCAATGCGCGTTCGTTGGTACAATTTCATAACAAATACTTCTTCTTTAACCGTAGCGTACAAAATTACTATGAATTCGTCTGTAACAACACCGCAGAAAACTTTAGCAACTGTTTTTAAAGCATAAATAATTCCTTTAAGTAATCAAAAGTTGTAGTAATTATCCGTTTAACCCAAATATGCATTGGCCCGGAAGGTAAATAGAATTGTAGCTGTTACGTAACCGCTTACATCACAGATTGTTTTATTTCAGTTGATAGTTAATTGATAGTCTGCCTATCGCTGAGCGCAATGAGTATGAATTTCACCCAGCTTCACAGGCTGCGGCAGCTTTGTAATGTCTCTTTTCACTTTTTTTTCGTCTGCCGCACGAATCGCGCGCACTCCGCGCCCGCAATTACTCTTTGAAACTCGAGCAGCCCGTTATGTAGGCGCATTATATCATTGCTACAATTTTTTTTTTCATGTATCATTATTTTGTTTATTTTTTTTTTTGTTTCCCGCTTGATTGAAAATATCGGTGTTGTGTTTATTTTTGCAGTTCGCGATGTCGTGGACCGCCGGTTTTTGCGTTGATTGTGTACACGATTTTATTTTTTGAAATGCACAGACTGTAAACGCATCATTGTGAAGTGCGAGTGTAATGTAGTGCATGCCCTATTTTGCACATAATTAGTGAAGCCGAAATGACTAATTCACAGGTATTTTCTTTTTTTCATTATTTTTATTTCATTGACATGTGCCAGTATTATTTAGTCGCCCTATTTATTTATTTAGTCTACATATTCCAGCAAATAGAAAAGTTAGCACTTTGCTAGTGTATGCGCTTAAATCGAATACATCAAATGCTTCCGTTTTATTGTTTTTACGACTCTTGACCGACTTCGCAGAAGTGGGCTACAATTAATATTTATGGATTCGATGCGACAAATCGGTAAACTGTTTGCGTTAAAACTTAACTAATACATCAAAGTTTAACGTTACAAGTACGAAAGTACATGTATTTTGGATTTAGAAAAAATACTAAAATAATATTTTTTCTCTTTCATATTTATAAAATATTGAAATTAACTAAGTTGTGGGCTGGCAATTCACCTGATGTGATAATCGCCGCCCATTTCAACACCTCATAATAAGGTACCTTACTCCTCACTCACAAGAATTATAACACTTGCACTTCACGGTGGTCTTCTATGAGGTCGTGGTACTTACCCAGACGGACCTGCCCATTCTTGTATCAGAAAAGACTTGCGTGGCCCTGCCACTGTTATAATCTATATTATAGAGGAGTAAACAAAGAAATTTTTTACCAAATTTCTGGGCATTCTTCATGGAGTACGTCATGTCATATAGGAAGATTGCATAAATAAATTTCAATTAATGTAGATACAATTTTGCGTGGAGTAACAATTTAATTGGATCTAATTGTCATAGATGATTTCCATTTGGGACTGTAATATAAGATCCAATACGAGCACAATGCTTTGAAGAGTGTCATATTAACCTCGAGTCAAATTCATAACAAACGAAATGTATAACAAAACCTACGTCGCCTGTACTACACTGTGTAATTGAACAACAGAAGAATAGTCATATATTGAAAGTAATAATGTAACTTGACGTCAGAAGAGAATATACTCTTCAATTATGTTCTGAAGAAACCTGTCAATCTTTTAATGCAATCATTCGGGCGATTCGTCCAAGTTTATTGAAAACTACCGATTGTATATCATATACACGCATATATTTTAATTTTTTTTTTTTTTTTTTTTAATTATTTTAAAGCATGACACCTCAGTAACCGGGCGCTCGCTTTTAATTCGTAATACTCGAGCAACAAATTTTAAATGTTGGCTTAGCACGTGCTCAGCGGTGAAGGAAAACATCGTGAGGAGACCTGCATATTTTCGAAATAATAACAAAAAAATATTTCGAAGGTATGTGAATTACGCCAATCCGCTGTGGGGTCGTGTGTTGAACTATGCACTAATATCCTCTATACAGAGGAGGCTTTTGCCCAGCAGTGAGACATATATCTCAGAACACATTATTACACAACGTTTTCTAGTCCAAAACAAAGCAACGCACTGTACTGTGGGTACTAGATAACTGATAAAAACACTTTTCTTTTTTAAATTAATACATATTATAAATATATAAACACCCTGACACTGGAAAAACACTATGTTCATCACACAATATTTTTCCGGTAGTGGGGATCGAACCACCACTACGCCAATCTGGTCGTCGGCTGTTACTTTAATGTTAACCTCAAAGGCCGTTTTTGACATTTGACACGTGACGCAGGTGTGGTTCCGCGGCGTGAGGAGCTCCAAGTTCCGGCACGTGTACGGCGTCTCCTTCAAGCGCGAGCGATGCTACGACAACATAAAGATCACGAGGAACGCGCACGACTCCAACTTCTGCGCCGTGAACCCGAAGTTCGTGGCGGTCGTGACCGAGGTAGCCGGCGGCGGCGCCTTCCTCGTGCTGCCCCTGGACCACGTGAGTAAAGTCTCCAATATCTCCCACATCCTCAAGGCCAATGTTACATTATTTAATGACGTATTTATACGCCTCTGGTGTTCCCATCTTATAGATTTGGGAATACTTGCGGGAAACTGGACGTATCTCTCGCTCGCGCCGCAATCCAAATAGCTTTCCGTCTCGCTCCTACTACACTGTACAGTCGCGCTCAATGTTGCTATTTGATTTGGCGAATGGAGCAGTTTTTTAGGTATTAGGATGGTTTATTAATTTTGCACTTGACGGTACTCGCGGGACCAACTTCAATTTTGCTTTTCTGATAGCCATACATTATTTTATTGATTCATTGTGTACACGATAATACGCCTGACCGTGCTATGCTACAAAGTTGTCGTTGGGATTTCAAAAAATTACGACAGAAATTTTTATATAAACTATGAATATAATACTTTATACCTATAATGATCATGATACTCGTTTCTTCCGTCAAGCCTTACGTTTTTAAACATTATTTTTACTAGTGAATTTTTTTATAATTCTTATTACTGTTTAATTCGGAATGCTAATTAAAGGGGTCAGCTTTCAACGAATGTCAATTATTCGCAATGCGCAAAATAATGGCAGACGTTGGGTGGAAGATATTAGAAAGTAGAGATGGGTCGTATCGCTTTTTCTGAGTACCGTATCTGAATCGGATTTCGATTTCAAATATCAGATTTCGAAACTATGTATTTTAATATCTAGATATTTTACGGTCACGTATCCACATTGAATTCTAAAAAAAAAAAAAATGTTTTCAACGATATTTTATACTCATTATGAATATAAATTGTGCAGGCGTATTTAAAAGTTGATTCATTCCATATACCAACTGTTCAAAAAGCTTACTTCTAAATAAATTCGAAAACCCACTAAAATTGACTAAATTCAAAAAACTTACTGAATTTTAAATCACGATTTTTTTTTATACTATTAAGGTAAAATTACCTGATTAAATAAAAAATTTCATTAAAAATAGAAATTGAAGTAATATAAAAATGATTTATTTTAACATCTTATATATCGCTTAATAATAGACTTTAACATATTCTTAGAACACGCAATCATCAGTGACAATATTTTTATAATTTGTGTAAGAAAAGAAAAAAAGAAATGTACATTCAGTATTATAACTTAGGGCAGAAGAATTTTAAATATACACACAAAGCACATAAGCCTTGATCTGATTTCCACCCAAGCAGCACAGCACTATTAAATTATATTTTTCTTTTTGTGTACTTTTATTTTTTTCCAAAAATATGAATAAAATTTAACTAATAAAAATATTCACAAAAAATTTACCACCTAAAACATTTCCATTTATATTTTTCTTCCTTAATTTTGGCAGAAAATTCTTAAGTAGTAAGTTGGCATCCCTAACTATTACGTGCTAGGTACCAATGCAATCCAGCTCAAGGCTAAACAAAATTTAAAGACATCGTTAATATCGTAATTCGTATTTAAATGCAACTAAAAATTTTTTTTCCATGCGGTTAAGATTCAAAATTACTTAACTGCGCGCTTTGTCGCCCGTTACGGCTCAAGGCTAAACAAAACAATAAAAATATAATAATATCGTTGTAGTATTTAATTAAAACGGATCTTATTTGCATGACTTTAAGATTCAAAATTACTTAACTTATTCATAATATCTGTTTAAAAATCTGATATTGTGCCTTGCTTGCCGTACTGCTCTAACTAGTGTAATATTTGTATCTCACGCGCTTTGTCGCTCAAAATCTGTTTAAAAATCTGATATCGTGCATTGCTTGCCGTCCCGCTCTAACTAGTGAGTATTTATATCTCACGCGCTTTGTCGCTCGATATCTGATATCGTTCATTGCTTGCCGTCCCGCTCTAACTAGTGAGTATTTGTATCTCACGCGCTTTGTCTCTCGAAATCTGTTTAAAAATCAGATATTGTGGCAAACCGTATGATATCGCGATTCGTGTCGGTATAGTGAGCGAGCGAGTATTCGGTATATCAGATTTCGGAAATATCAGATATTGTAAAATACATAGATATTGAACGAGCCAGTAAGCGATATTCGGATATTGTACTAATATCTAGATTTCATATCTGATACGATTTGTATCGCCCACTTCTATTAGAAAGTGTAGGATTTTTTTATATTTGCAACCATTAATTCATCCGTGTTACGTACTACGAGTGATATTCGAAGATATAAGAGAACTATTTATTGTGAAGCACATCTTTCACTTCTAGTCATGCTCCTTTTATATTTAATACATCTTGTAACGCCGAATGTTATATAAATTCGTCCAAGCTTATTTTAATGTGTTTTATTTATACATTTTATTGTCGTCATAACGTAATATATTATTCGCGTAATTTAATATGTATTCCTTGTTGTGAACACGGTTAAGAGAAGTTACAGCATATGAACAATAGACAATCTACTTTCAAGACCACTACGCAATTCATCTAACTAGAGAGCTTCAAGCTCCCGAATCTCACATATCTCTGAAAACACAGTTTCATCAATTTCTTTCATGTATGACAGTTTCTTTCGCGATTATTTCCTCAAGAGCTTTCGAGCACTTGATCAATTAAGTAATAATCGAATAATATCTCTCCTTTATCAGTGTTAAGTGAAAGTAGCAATTTTATTTATAAAAAATTCAATTCTAACTTAGAAAGCAGAATCGGAAAAGGAAACGTATACCAATTAGGCGGATTAAAAGCAGCCGGTCCAATCAAATAACTCTAAAACACGACAGATTTACGTTATGCGAGACTTGCGAGAATTTACGAGCCTAATTCCGACACTCCTATTGATTATAATCGGTGCATTCGTAATATGGTATTTTTTTATTAATCTCTTGCCAGTTTTCATTACAGGTTACATAAATAGCCATAGGTGTATTTTTATAATTAATTTTAATAATATTGTAATTAGGCTGTAGTAAGAGATTCCAATTAGAGATTAACTGGCAATTGTATCATTCATGTGTAAAGCGGAGTCTAACATATAAGACATTAACTTCGTAAATCAATGAATTCAACTCTAAACGGTAAACGCCGCTTCTGACTGCGTCGGTATTACTGGTGAAATTTCAGCAATATCCTTCCAAATAAATCCTAGTATAAACTAATTTATGTGTAGAATTACGGTTTTATCTTCACACTCGGTAACCGCAGATTATACAAGAGATACATTAAATTCTTTGGTGATATTTATATGCAACTAATTTGACTGTACCTACATGCCTGATGGAGATTCATTCGCCCGCAGACCTGTCAGAAACGCGAACATTTTACCATCGGAGGCCCGGCTCGCTGATTGGAAAATCAATACAGAGCAATCGACAGTTATGACCGCATTTGTTTGCGCGTTGTCGCTGCATGGGTTTTTTTTCCCTCCATTGTCTTGACCCGAAAATTACACTTGACCGTGTGGATATCGCAATTGATTATCAACCGACTTTGAAAAAGTTGGAGCTTTTACCATGAAAGGCTGCATCGCCAATTACCATCAGGTGGGATGGCAGTCAAGTGCTGGCCAGTTCAAAATAAAAATAAAAAAAGTACCACAGCCTCACGAAGAAGACCGGTTAATAGTGCTTTAGTGATTCGCCCGATGAGCAAACCTGGTGCGCACACTCAGCTGTTCTGTTTTCAAAAAGTCTTTAGTATTTCTGCTATTATGAATCCAACGGCGGATGATAGGATGCATATTCTCACTTAACTGTAAGTGAACTGCGTGCGCAGGAAAAAAAGACCTGATCAAATGCGTAGATTTTTTATTAAAACTTGCTTTTATTTTTAACGATAATAATCTGTCACTGTCAATGAAGACAATTTAAGAATAGATTCTATAGTTTCTGAAATTACTTATCCATTGTATACGATAATTTTTTTGTTTTATCTTTTCACTTTTTATTATTATTTAGTGTTTTACTGTAATTTTACCAGAAGTACCTTCAAGAACGACCAATCGATCGCAACCTACTTGTTCGTCACCCCTGATATAGTTGAATATATCCATTATCAGAACTGAAAAAAGCAGGAAGAATATTATAATCGATAGAAAAATAGTTAAAAACAGTCGCGTTATGAAGTCCTCGTGAACCGAGAGCATTTTTATGTAACTCTTTCGTAGTAATCGCTCGAAAATTACACTTATCAACCTTTTTTAATAGCGCTGCCCGCACACAATTGCGATCCTCTATCCATTTGGAGTGTACGGCTCGTGAGTTTTTCGCAATGGCCGTTATTACGCAATTTTAGTACGTGTGCAACTTACATGCTTGTGTATACCGTTATGAATTCCTAATACCAGCCTTGCGGTATTGAAACACGCATATTGTTTACAATATTTTTAGTCATCCAATCTAAAAGAGATTAATGCAGCTGGACTAAAATATGTAGGAAGCATATTAGGTGACGCCAAAAATTGATAAAAAAGCAACAAAAAAAGTATATAAGACATCGAGACTTTCGCCCGGTGAGGATGTCAACCATATAGTTTATTGGTTAGAGGGTCTAAATCCGTAAGGCGCAGATTTGAATCCTTGCAACGACGAAAAATGTTGTGACAGTTTTAATTACAATTATTTTTTTATAAGATGGCAAGTGAGCTGGCGGTTCACCTGATGGTAAGTGATAACCGGCGCCCATAGACACTTGCAACACCCATAGGGTTGCACAGGCGTTGCCACCTTTTAATGAAGTGAGCCAAGGCTACCTCACTCATCAGACGAAACGCAGCAGCATAATACTTATAATTTACGCCGATCTTCTGTGAGGTCGTGGTACTTCCCCGGACGGACCTGCCAATTCGTGTATCGACGAACTGATGCGTGGTAGGGCCACTGTTACAAATTTTAAAGAAACTGTTTGTACCAATTGTAAGTTAAAGTGCTAGCCCATCGCCATTCGAACCGACAGACAAACCCCGCTAAACTATCATGCTCAGCAAAATAGCCGGCACCTGCTCTCGTAAAGTTTAGCGACCCGACTTTATCGCTATGAGTGACTTTCCTAGGTAAATCGCAAACATTTGGCTCCTTCTTTTATAATATACTAGCTGAAAACGTTGTTCTGTCATATAAAGTTGTTTTGCCCAGATATAAATCTGGTGCCAATAAATAATTGGGTGGAATTTCGTAAAATCCGTTCTTAGCTGACCTCCACTCGGCGAAAGGAATATTCCTACAAAATATCAAGTCTCTACGCTTTATGGTTCCAGAGATATCGTGATGAGTCAATTATCGGTGGAAATCTCTTATTTATTGGTACATATATAGATCAGATATCAGAATCAAAGTTACCAACTTCACCTAAATATCAGTGCATCGTGTATCTATCGAAATTATACGATTGTAATTCGTAGTCTGTTAAATACGTGAATGTTTCACGAATTGAATAGACAACGTAATCCGTAACTATTTTACGTAAGGACCAGTCGTCACTCACGCGAACCCATTTCAACTACTCTAGCCTTACCTGAACAAACTCTTATTTGCTTGGTCAAGTACTCGCCAGCCGGAACCTGACGTGGCCTTCACGCCCGAGGAAATGTTCGAAGACGTGTGTAATGTGAACTAAACCGCAGATCCTTAGGGCTGTCGTTATTTCATTGTAATACTATCGTTTTTAATAATCCCATTTAGACATTCAAAATATTTGATTTGTGGAACGGTCAGGTTATTGAAATATCCAAACATTCAGGAAATAGAATGTTGTATGTTTAGCCATGAAAAGAATCAAAAAATTGCTTTTTCACTGTTAAAGTATATAGACATTGTGAATATTATGTTATAAAATAAAGAATGATGTCTTAAACCTTTGAATTTCAATTATATTTTATTTTCAGTGACAACCCTTTAATAAATTTTTATCTAGTTCACCGCTCAAATCGTATGACTTACGGCACCAGGACGTTATCTAATAGACTTAAACGACTACACCCCGACCATTATACAAGGCACCCACGTTTGGATGAGATTAAACAATTGACTATGTTGAACCAAATTTGCTAATATACAGACACTTTGTCTTGATTCGTTTGTAAAACGTTTAATAGTTTAAATAGTTTATATTTTGCACATATTTTACATATTACATATTATTTTACATATTATTTTACATTTATCTATTATCATTTTATTACCTAAAACGAAATTGTTGAAATATAATTTTAATGGATAAACGTTAATTTAAAATATGTTTATTTATTTTGAGTATTTTGTTTCAAAGCTACAAGTGATAGAAAAAAGTACTTTAATAATTATTATTAAATCAACAACGTTTTTGTGCAATTTTTTTGTTAACAAAGATTTTAATTAATTGATTAATTGAGGTTAACACAGTCAACCGATTTTAATATTCCACGATCTTGATAACCAGCTGCGATGAAATTTTAATTTTTCCGCTTCGCGTTTCAGTTGTTAAGTAATGGGTTTTAGTCAACTTTTACACCCGGTTTCTGAAACACTGATCATCGTATATGTCAACTAAAAAGCTGCCAAATGGCTTTTCAAATTTCATTTTAGTTGCCAAAAGGATGGTTAAACTCCCTGAATTGACCAGATCAATGATAAGAATGATCAATTCAAGTACTTTATTTTGATGCTGATTAGTTCAGAACTGTACAAAAACCGTTGTATATCGGTCTGACACCCTTTGTGGACCCTGGACTTTTCGGCCTCCTAACCAATAAAAAAAAACATATGAAAAAGTGAAACTTACTAAAGTGAGATTATTATTTTTGTCACCTACTGTCATAGTTTTCGTTAATAGTCAGAATTAGCAATTAAAATAAAATTAAAGAAAATTGTTAAATTATTAAGTATACCTATGCTACGAGTCTCAGGTTCGATTAAAGATTCGAGGACAAAAACATTTTATGACAGTCAGATAATTTGCGACACCATTTCTATATTATGTGTATGTAAAATGTCCGGATATTGCGGATACTCGTATACTACAATAGTTAAAAATGTAAAATTGCCACATAAACAAATAAGTACGTAAATAAACTGACACATCAACACGTACGTGAAAAATATTCGAAATCGATCCAATTATAATTATACTCCAATTATAAGCCTTTGTTATTTAATTCAGCTGGGTTTTCTGTCGGCCGCTCTCATAGACGACAATTAGCAAGTCTCATAAGCACAATAAGATTCAATGTAACACATATATGAATTAAAGAAACCTGAGCTTTTATAACGTCTCTTTAGGGCTGCCGATACTACTTGTATGTTCACGTTGACCATCCACGCGATGATCGATAACAGCTCTATGAGTTGTGATTTGCCATTGTTGTTTCGCTTTCAGACTGGCCGCTTGGACTTCAACGCTAGCCGAGTGACCGGCCACAAGGGCCCCGTTTTGGACATTAAATGGAACCCATTCAATGACAACATCATCGCTTCGTGCTCCGACGATTGCACGGTAAGCAGTGCCTTCACATAATTACTTCAAGTGCAGAATGTCCTACATACAGGTTGCTTATTAACAAGATAGGCTCTGAAACCCTTGAGAGACACCAGAAATTTAGAAGAGAGACATTTAGGAGTCTACTGTCGTGTCCACTGAGTTCTTCAGTGGGTAGGAATCACCTTTGGAAGAATTTGTACCTCGTTAACGTCTATCGTCTATCTATCATCATTCCAGCCTGTTTTTAAATCCAGTTAAGAACATAGTTCACCTCCACAGACTGTCACGAACACCGATCCAACCATTATCCATCGACTAACAAAATTAACTCTAATTCGAAATTTTAAATTTCTTTGTCCTCATCAGCTTTCGTTTCATAAAATTTCTACCTAGTTAAATACATATTGTGGTCATTTTGTTTGATCGAGGATTTTTAGGCTTTGAGACTTGAAACTACTACATACTGCTGTATGCCCCATGCCGCGCATTTAGACAAACGTACTTTACAATGTTCGTAAAATTGTGTAACTTTAATCGTCGCGTGTTACTAAAAGTACAGATTGCTATTCCGTCTGGCGTCGACCTTTTTAAAAACAGTGGTAAGAACCAAACTCCTATGTAAACCTGGATGGGTAATTCGGGCTACAACTGTATTGATAATAGTGAAAATGTTAACACAATAAATTTGGACGTTATTAAAACACAATGAGCGATACTTAGCACTTAACACGCAGCACAAGATGTTTCATAAACGAACAACTTTCACTTTATTGTTTGTTCAAAGCCGATCGAATGTCGATACGTAACGCCCATTGTTTTGGTGCGATCTTAATCAAGCTCCATTTGCTGTATTGTTTTTTTTTGCGATAGATTTGCACCTTACACGCTATTCGATCCGCGTGGAAACAAAGCCTTCTCTAATTATTGAGACTTTGTCACAGTTTTCTCTTATCGAGTCAAAAACATTCGAACCGGCGTTTTCCTGAAGCTAAATTTATCTAGAAAAGAATCACATTTAAGATTAATGTCGAGTGCAGAGACTAGCAGTAAAATTGATCATATATTATAATTTAACTAAAACGGCCGTTTAAAACAGAATCGCATCAAAAATTGATAGAATATTGATGAAGTTAATAGCCGTCGTAAATGTATTCATTAATGCGACTATCGACTGACATTTTTTTTTAAATCTGCGTTTCTATTTACTAGTTGTAACAACTGCGGTAGGGCAACGCAGCAGCTTCGACAATGACGAAGAATGGGCAGGCTCGTCCGGGTAAATACCACGGACTCACAGAAGACCGGCGTCAAGTGGAAGTAGTATAATACTTTCGCGTTTCGTCTGAAGTGAGGTCGCCCGAGCCCAATTTTCAAAAGGTTGTCAACGCATCTGCAACCCTCGGGTGTAGCAGATGTCCGTGGGTGTCAGTATTCACTTAATATCGGGTGAACCGTCTGCTCGCTTGGCAACTTTTCACAAAAAAAAAATATTATGTTCAAAGTCAGCGGATTGAAATTTGTCACGCAATTTGAAAAATCACAAGTAAACATTTTTAGCTAATGCTAAGAACATATTTTATTATTGGTTTGTTACAAATTTAGAGAAATGTAATACTTCTCATATAATAGCGTCGATATGATAAATTTAACGTTGCAACGCTAAGTATAGAGAAAAGGCTACAGTTAAGCTATGTTTTGTAAAACGAATCGACTGAGCATTTCACATTCTTGCGTTATCTACGTGACTTTTTCGTTACTGTTATCTTTTGTTAATACCGTTTCCTTTAAACACTCAAAACTATTACTAATCAATACATAAGCGGCTTATCGTATAAAAGGTTTCAATTGCTTATACTGAACTTTGTATATAAAGCAAAATAAAGTAGTTTATAACTTGATACACAACAATCAACGTCGTTCATTAACAATCATGCTAATTTTAAGAAGAAAACTCAAATAGCATCATTGAGAAAAGGAATATAACTAGAGATTTGTGTTCAGCGTGTTATGGCCGAAACAGTGTTGTGGGGGCAACGCAGCATGTCCTAATCGCCGTAGTCTAATATTGCCCAAATGGGCAGGATCATTCGGCGAACTAACACTAACTGGCAGAAGGCTGTCGTGAACTGGAAGTACGCAAGGCAACGAAGTCGCGTTGAGTGAGCTAACCGGGGCCCACTTTAAGGTTGCCAACGCTCAGGTGTTGCCAATGTCCACGGGCGACGGTCAACACCTAACATCGGGTGGTCCGCGTAAATTTAAAAAAAAACCGCCCAAGTGCGAGTCGGACCCGCACACATCTTCTAATATATAAAATTCTCGTGTCACGGTGTTTGTAATTGAACTCCTTCGAAACGGCTCGACCGATTTGAAATTTTGTGTGCTTATCGGCCAGGGTGGAGAATCGGACATCTATTTTTCATCCCCCTAAATGTTAAAGGTGATGCACCCCAAATATTTTGTTCTACCCTATAATTAATTTTTACGGCAAAACAACGTTTGCCGGGTCAGCTAGTTATCTATAAAAACGGCCAAAAAGTCATGTCTGTTGTATGGGAGCCGCGCTTAAGTATTCCTTTATTATGTTTTTTTAGTATTAGTTGTTATAGCGACATGAGATATACATCAAAAATTTCAACTGTCTCACTATCACCGTGAAATACAGCATGACAGACGGACAGACAGACAGACAGCGGGGTCTTAATGGATAGAGGGTTTTACCCTTTGCATACGGAACCGTAAAAATGCATAGAGATTCAAGCTCAGTGCACCTTGCTGCTGAATACTAATACAGCGACGAGTGGTCTAATTGGACGAATTCCAATTGTTTCCAGGTAAAGCTGTGGCACATCCCTGACGGCGGGCTGTCGATGCACCTGACCGAATGGCTGGTGGAGTTGCACGGCCACAAGCGGCGCGTCGCCTACATCGAGTGGCATCCGACCGCCGAGAACGTTCTCCTCAGCGCTGGGTTCGACTACCTGGTGCGCTTGTCCCTATATGCCTCTTTTAGAGCCGAATGCACGAGCCACTTTTGTTGCTCGTCGAGCCTAGGTTTGCCAACCATACTTTATAATAGTAGAAAGAAAATAATAACTTATTTTACTTTATTTTTGGTAAATGTACTTTATAGTTTTGCATAAAAATAAATTATATGTAAATAAATAAATATATCAGGCATAAAATTAAATACAATGTATGCATACAAAATATAAAAATTTAAGTAAAGTGAAAAACTGTGAATGTGTGCTAGTACCATACAAAAATATATCTTCAAAAGAAATAAGTACAATTTTGAAAAATCCTTTTTTTTATCGAAATACTTTATTTTTCTCTACTTGAAAAATGTAATACTTTATTGTTCTCAAGAAACAATTGGCAACCCTAGTCGAGCCTCATAAGTTGGGTCGGTGGTCTAGCACTTAACCGTAACCGAGCTTTATTTATGTTGTTATCAAAGTTTTATAAGTTTATTTTACTGTTTTAATTTTTTTTTTACGAAAAATTTATCGTTATATTTTTCTTCATGTTGACCGTTGATATCAACCAATATGACTCAATTGTGTAGTTAATAATATACTTCGTTTATGTAAATGTCCTATCTCCTTTTTTTTTTTCTTTCTGAATAGTCTGCAATTGAATGTTTAATTCAAATATTTCATATGGATGAGGGTTGATTTCGCTCATTTCGCTGACTTTCTTTTTGGATACCCCCCGAGAATCAAAAAAAAAAAAATACAATGTTGACAATACCAATTTGCATGGTTCTTTTGATACAAATATTGCGCATTAGGAAAAGGAATAACAAACGTTGCGATGACCCGATAACAAATGGATGGAATACACACGAGGCAGTTATTCGAAAATGCGAATGTTTCAGCACGCGATATAAATTGTCGCGTGACGACTAACTTGCATTAATTAATCATTGCGTGCTATACTACTGCTATAACGTAGCAGAACACGCGCGATACATCTATTGTGATAGATTCTCATCTGGTTAAATATAAAGCCGGCTGTTCACTATAAGATATAATATTATATGATACCCGCAATTAAAAAAAAATATCGCTAATCGTCGTTTTTTTTACGTAATCATTATAGTTGACCCAAAGCTAAAATGTTTACGAGTGATCTCTCTCTAAGCTCAGGAAGTTTGTACCGTTTCTATTCGTCCACATATAACTTTATGATATTTTCTTAATAGCCGTGGCTGGGTTGCTCACCTTGTTATACAACATAATCGAGCTACCTGTGCTTAAATCGAAGAATTGCCACGAAATAACTGTTAACACATTTGAAATTTGATCATTAGTGTCTATCACATCTTGCACTGTAAAGAAAATACTTGGAAATCATAGATTTTTTGCTGAAAAGAAAACTTCGTGTGATGATGTGTATTTAAATGCGTGTTAAATAAAAAAACTTATCGGCGCTGACAGGATTCGAACCCTCGTCTTCACGGTTTTTTTTATATGAGAAATTTGCAAACGAACTGGCGGTTCACCTGATGTTAAGTGATTACCGCCTGCCCATCGACATGTGCAACACCCGTGGCATTGCAGATGCTTTGCCACCACCTAATAAAGTGGGCCCCGGCTACACTAGATGTGCTACACTTGTACTTCACGGCGGCCGTCTGTGAGGTCGTCGCCACTCCGTGAAAATCCTGACAAGTATTCTACTTTATTTGCATTATTTGCTGTGCATGGCGCCACCTAATGAGCCACTTATAGTATGCCAACACTCGCATAACAATTTTATATATTCACTCACATTAAAATTTCATCTTGAGTGCAGATTAGCGCCAAAATATTAATCATAATAATACATGATGACTGACTTACACAGATAATTGTGTGGGACGTCGGCAAAGGGGAGGCTGTGAAGGTGATAGACTGTCACAGCGACGTGATCTACTGCATGTCGTTCAACCGGGACGGATCGCTGCTGGCCACCACGTGCAAGGACAAAAAGCTGCGTATCATCGAGCCCAGACGGGGCATAGTGCTCTCCGTGAGTGCAACACAATTGACCCTTCCCCCCAAAACGGAAAAAATGGATAGGAAATAATTCAAGCACACGTGGAGGAATTTATTTCGGTAACAGATCGATTGTGGAAAAAAATACAAACTCCCATATAAATTTCATTGGTATTTGACACTTGGACTCCGGGAAGTCCTCAAAAGGAGCTTGTTTTTGTATATAAGCATATAAGGTTTAAGTAAAAAAGAAAGTAATTTATTTCTATTTTTGTTGTTGACCCTAAGCCCCTATGGATAACAGACAATAGATTAACTATAATACTATCTTTGGAAATTATTAGAAAGCAATCTTCGAGCGCCGCGTGCGTGCGTGCGCGCGTGTGTATGTGTGCGCGCGTGTGTGTGTGTGTGTGTGTGTGTGTGTGTGTGTGTGTGTGTGTGTGTGTGTGTGTGTGTGTGTGTGTGTGTGTGTGTGTGTGTGTGTGTGTGTGTGTGCTGCGTGTGTATGAGAACTCTGTTACCTCCGTGTACAGAAAGTGACTCTGTCCCAATAGGTAGGAAGTAGCCTAATCAATTGAATACTGCGCGCAGGAGGGGCTGTGCCACATGGGCACGAAGGCGGCCAAGTGCACGTTCCTGGGCGCGCAGGGGCGCGTGCTGACGACGGGCTTCTCGCGCCACAGCGACCGCCAGTACGCCGTCTGGGACCAGCACGAGCTGGCAACGCCGCTCGTCTGCGAGACCATCGACAGCTCCTCGGGCGTCGTCTTCCCCTACTACGACTACGACACGAACATGGTCTCCGCCCGCTTTTTTCCACTTTTTTTTTTATTTATTTATGTGAGAGGTTGCCAAGCGAGCTGGCGGTCCACCTGATGTTAAGTGAATACCGCCGCCCATGAACATCTGCTGCAGCCGAGGGTTGCAGGTGCGTTGACAAGCTTTTGAAAATTATTAACCCCTCCCAACATCAGCGTTTTTTTAAAGCGTTGATGTTGTGAAGGGGGTAATAATTTATTACAGTAAAACAACATTTTGGCTCTCGACTTCTCTACTCTAAGCATCACTTCATTAAGTTTTCGACATTAAGTAAATAATATGTTTAGGTTTATTTGGCTGGAAAGGGAGACGGAAACATCAGATACTACGAAGTTGTTGAAGAAGCGCCTTACGTTTATTTCCTCAATCAGTTTCTTTCCGGGAATCCACAGGTGAGTTTTAATTATTTTTATTTTGACGTAAACAATGACAAAACTGATGTAATGTAACGTTTTGGTTAGATGAGACTAACGGGAAGCAACTTGATCAAAATGGGGCCTAGTCGGGGAAAAGTTTGCGCTGGTATATTTTCGTGCAACCAATTGCGATGGTTTGCTTGGTCAATAATAACTTATTCATATTCACCTTCCGTGCCCCGTACAGAGGTGTTTCTCGTTCACTTAACCAAGTGTGAAAGTCTACTGCTATATTTTTATTTTGATATTTTTCATTTAGGACATGTTTGCCTAGAAATAATTTTACATATGGTATATGTGTAATAATCAATGTTGTATTTGCCTTTAATTTTCATTTAAGTGTTTATGACCTGAGAAAGTTTTATCGTGACATCTACAGATGAGCTTCACTACATAGTATAAAACAAAGTCGTCCCGTTGTCTGTCTGTCCCTATGTATGTTTAGATCTTTAAAACTGCGCAACGGTTCTGGATGCGGTTTTTTTACTAGATTGAGTGATTCAAGAGGAAGGTTTGTACGTATAATACATTGCACCCGCGCGAAGCCGGGGCGGGTCGCTAGTAATGAATAAAAATGTTGCCAACAGCGCGGGCTGGGCTACATGCCGAAGCGTGGCGTGAACACGGCTGCGTGTGAGGTGTTCCGATTCTACAAGTTGCACACTTCGCGGGGCCTCTGCGAGCCCATCTCCATGATAGTGCCACGAAAGTCGGACTGTTTCCAGGTACAATAAATGTTAATGGCCCCGACATATCCGGCTAGAATGCTTATGAACGTTTTAAAAACAAATATAAATCGTCGCTACTGGATGCCTTTGACAGCTTCTAGCTTTATTGTTTCAAGATTTTATTGTTATTATTTTATACTTTACTTATTATTAGTTTAGTGTATTTAACAAAGTACTTGGTTGTTGGATCCAATATTAAAAGTTCTAGGTCAACCGGCAGTACCCTATAGGTTTTGGTTCGAAAACCTTAATGGTAATTGCCATTGACCTAGAATCACGAAATTTGGCAAAAAGCAGTCTTACAGCATAAATAAAGCAAAAATTCCGAAAAATAAAAAATATTGAAAATCAAGGTAAATTTTTGTACTTGCCCATATTTTTTTATTGCGTTGAGTAAGGACCTTGGTTTTTATACACCTAATAAGGACTATAGACCATATATCTGATATTAATTCAACTTGCACTCTCACTCGTTCTTGAGAATATTGGTGGTGATTATTTAACAATTTAATTAAGGCGTTCTAATTTAAATATGGGTAGGTACGGAACCCTCGGTGCACGAGTTCGGCTCGCACTTGACCGGTTTTTATTTCGGTAAAATTGCAGGAGGACTTATACCCAGACACCGCAGCCCCATTGCCGGCGCTAAGTGCCAAGGACTGGCTCAGTGGAATGAATGCACCACCACTTTTAATCAGCATGAAAACTGGTAAGGTGATGATTTAATTATGATTACAAATAGTAATATTGTAATTTTAGGAGTATTGAAGTTATCTGGGAGATAAAAATAATAAAGCGAATATTTTAATCAAGAGTAATGCTATGGTTTAATGAAAACGCAAATTGTTGGTTCACTATCACTAAAGGTTACAAATGCGTGCTGGCCTTACCGGGCAAATTAGCTATATATTCCCATTGGGGTCGTCCATTAATCACGTAATGTCCCCCCCCCCCCCCCTCCCCATCCCTCTGGTGATACTTGCTGAGGCTTAAGACTACCCAAAACTACGTAGTTTTAGTTACATTTATTCGATATTTTGACTGATAAAAATATCCAGACAGACTTTTCTGCCGGCCAGGGGAATCTTTGGAAATCGGGCGATCAACTAAAGAATAAATACACGCGACATCTCACTATACCCCTCCCCTCGCCCTTTCGAGGCTCAAGGGTACTGTCGAGGATCGCCAAAGCGTTGCGCAACACCCAAACACCAGCCGCATTGCAGGCGTGACGATCTCCACGCACAAGCCGCGCAGCAACAAGGACGCGCCCGCCCTGCAGCCGCAGGACGCGAACAACAGGAAGAAGTTCGCGTTCCTCTCGCGCGAGACCACGCCCGACTACCGCCCGCTCGGCACCTGGCAGCCGCACGAGAACAATATTCTGGAGAGCGACCTGCAGGTACCTACCTCAACGGACGAAGAATTGTCAGGGTGGATTTTTACGATAGTTACAGAATACAATCAGCATCGCTCCCAAATACTATGGTACTCCCTACGAATTAATATCAAATACGAAGTTATTATTCAATGTGCAAATAAGAATAGTGCATTACAAATCGTTGCTGCTCTATTGAAAATACGTCAAAGATAACCATTAAGGAAACATTGTTTTAATCCTCTCGGTTATTTATATCACGGTAATGTATGCAAACGTACTGCGACACGTAGTCGTAAAATAGAGATGATACCGTATGCCTTTGTCAGGTGGCGATGAACGAGAAGTCGCAGAAGACGAGCGCCAACCAGAACACGAAGTTCCACCAGCTGCAGCGCATGTTCGGCAAGCAGACGGGCGACGCCGAGCCGGTGCCGCTCTACAAGCAGATCAACCAGGGCGACGTATTCAGCACCGAGCACGAGGCGAGAACGATTTACGTCATCTTAATCAAGCATCAATCATAACACCGTCATCAACTAATAACATAATATTTACAATCATAAGCGTTTAGAGCAAATGCTTGACGTCATCATCATGAGTCCGAAATGACTAAATCAACAATTAATAACATAATATTTAAAATCATAAGTGTTTAAAATACTTACACCAATGACTGCATAGCTGAAAGGTTCACCTCGTGACTGCACTACAGATTGTGTTACCATCATCGTCAGCGGCACTATTCAGCACCGAGAACGTCAGACGTCACCACTCATATCGTGGTCATGAACATCATGACAAAATCAACAATTATTATTATTATTTTACGCAAGAAGGTTGAAAGCGAGCTGGCAGTTCGCCTGATGATATGTGATAACCGCTGTCCATGGACACCTGCAACACCCGTCTTTCTGTACAATAAATCATACTAATTAGTATACTGTCTTATTTAATGCATTTACGAAAAGTGTACGCCCAAAGAATCGCGTAAAACTTTTGTTGCTCAATGAAAACTGTGACTCAAATGTCAAAATGTATCTGATCCAAAGTAAACTCTAAAGTTACAAATTGTTTATTTATTATCACCTGTTTTATTTAGATAGAATTAATTCTAAATGAATAGCAATCTCCAACATGACAAATTGAACAATTATGCTGTTCTTGTCACATAAGTGCCATTATATTGCCTTATAGATTTTTAATAAAAAATTTAATTATTTCTATTTATGGGGCCTCGGTGACTGCTAGTACAGAGACTTATTTTCAATAATTATATATTAAATTTGTTTTATTTAAATAGAATTACTTCGAAGTATAATATTTAATAGTGTGCGTTAAAAAAAAATTTCACACTTATTTTTCTATACCAGATCATTTTCTATATTTTTTATTTTTTTATTTCCAAAATACATGATTTACCTAAAATAAACCGAGCAAAGCTCGGTCCTCCAGGTACTTATTAATAATGTAACCAATCGAATCTTCTTTACAGTTACGACTCGCATTCAACCGTCAGGGCGAGGAGTTGAGGATCGTGAAGCGTCAACTGCAGAACAGTCAGCAGCGGGTGAGGGAACTGGAGCAACACTTAGCCGCTCTACAAGCGAAGCTTCAGAACCACTGAGATGAACCCTGCGCAGGAGATGGTTACGTAGAACGCGCACAATATAAAGATTAGCCGGACTAATGTAATGCCGGATAAAAAAATGAAATGTCCCATAGAGCGGCGTCCGCACCTTACATACGTCCTAAATGTATTTACCAGTTATCAGTTCAAATGCTGGAATGCTGGTTTATAATAGTGGAATGAAGTGAATAACATTTTCTTGTAAATTTTATTTCAATTGATTGATCATTGGCGCCGCGTTAAAAGATTTCCAACCAACAAATCTGCTTTGGTGGACAGGCTCAGCTAACGAAGGCCTAATTAACAATATTCTGCGAGTTACTCGCAGTGTGCGCGTTCTTCATCAATTATTCCTCCTCGCAATACGCTTCTACCAGTGACCTATAAAACTGAGAGTACAAAAGTACTATATGTTTTATTCTGCCGTATTGTCAGTGTAAATGTATTTTTTAGAATTTTGCTTGAAAGAGCATCATTATTAAATGTGTCACAAATCTTAGATAATCTCTAACATGACAAATTGAACAATTACGCTATGCTTATTGCGTAAGTGTCATTATATTGCCTTATAGGTGTTTCGATATAAAAATTAGAATTATTTCTATTTACGGCCTCGGTGACTGCTAGTGCGGAGAGTTATTTTGAATAATTATATATAAGATAATAATGCAAATGAGATGTATCAATATGACGGATAATAATAAGTCTTAAGAAATCTAATCACGTTGTTCAACATAATCGCCTATTTATTGAATATCGATCAACAAAATATTAAAACATTCCAAACAGAGATAACAACATTTTTTATAAAGTTTTTAATACATAATTAAACATATGTACTGTGAAATTCCTCAAATCAATATCTATTTATTAACTGTAAAAGACTTCCAGACTGTCTTGTGAAAAAATTAAACTCTTCTAAAAGCCTGCTTAAAAAATATTTCATGTTTCATTAATTCACTTTCACTCAAACCTCTTTGTCAAACATAAAGCCTGTCATAGTCGGGACTATTATGTAGTTGTAGACTATGTAATAGAACTAGATAATTATATCTACCCCATTCGGCTAAAATACATGAGACAGTATCAAGATTATCAAATAGTTATATTGTGCGGAGCTTTGGTTTTACACTTTAGCAAAGAATTTTAAACTCGGTAATTTGACCAGTGTTACTTTTCATTTACTTCGTAAGGATTGATTCTTAGTTAATAATAGCTTAAATGAAGTGTATGCAGTATTATTACACGGTTAGGGGATTGAATTGAAAGCCATTCCAATCAAAATTATACTTCTGGTGCACTTGCCCAAAAAATAATATATGTAGGTATAAAATTTTTCAATGATTATTCTACAACATGTAAAGATTTCTATGACCTCTGGCAACTTTAGTTATAGCTCTGTGATTTCATCAGTGATTAAGATATAATTATGTTAAGGCCTAGCATTTTCTGTAGTTTGTTAATAGTAAGTACGAATTTAAAATATAAGTTTTATTATGTTTCATTATCAAAACTTCAAAAGAAGTGTTTGCATTACTTGGTTCGAGAGCCTTTCGTTTTATTTTAAGACAATATAAAATACAATACAAATTGCCCTTTATATATTCTATGATTTATGTGTTTTTAATTTTGCAACTAACTATAATTCAATTGTTTCTGATGATTATTATAACAATGATTTGTGCAATTAAATGTCATTTATTTGGTATGATTTTGTGATGTGTAATTATTCCAGATGGCACTGTTTTGATATGCACACAATTTTTATTGTTTATTTTTAATTTTATAATTATTATGACATTGTTAGTGATTGTTTTAGTTCTTTTAAGTCTGATTTATTTTTTAGATTTGTTTCTTCCTGATTACTTATATCTTGTATGTGTGTTTTATATTTTCTACCGTTTATTGGAATTTACTTTAAAGCATTAAATTTAACGAACGTCCAAATCAAAAACTACAACAAAAAAATTAAATTTGATACAAAATTGCAATGCTTCAAAATGTCATGGAGGCAAGACTTGTTTCTTTGTGAATGATGATGTACAAAAAGGTTACCTGAACTTTTTGTATAGCAAATATTTTTTTTAAAATTTGAAGCTTACAATATATTATAAAATTCTTAGGTGCTAGATGCGTGCACCTGTATATTTAATATGGAGCTCCTTTCTTAGATAAAAACATTTCAAAGATCATCAGTTTCATTTTACTCACTATTACTGTACTATTCGTACTCACGAAGCAAAAAGCATTCAAACATTCCACTGGTCAGACTAGATGCAACAACTAGTTATAAGTTAAAATGAAACGAAAAAGTATTATTCCATATTAGCTGGGTTCATAATTTAGTTTGTGCCTAAGTCGACATTAATATTTATTGTGTATTTTTATATCATGCTTGTGTAGCACAAATTTTCAATAAATGTTTGAACATTGAGTATCTATGTGTTATTAGTCCAAAATAAAATTTAATATATTTTCATTCAAAAGACCTACCTTTGTTCCTTTCCAATATGAATATTGGTATTTTACATGCTACTAACGATGACTTAGTACACCACATGGTTAAACTTTTTTTGGTTGGATTTTCCACAGGCCTAGAGGAGGCCTTTAGAGATTCACCGGGCGCAGAGGGCGCCTAGCCTGTACCACGAATATGGGTGACTCGAGGGAGCCGCTACTCGGGCCGCCACACTATTATTATTAGTACTGGTTCTTGGTGGATGGTCCATGGAGTAACGGCTCAAGGGTCCCGAGATAGGACCTTGGCTTGGGCTTGTTTTTCAAATTCCTTTTTTTTTTAATTCATTTCACAATCTGACTTTGTTTTATTCAAGTTGCAATCCACAGTATATCAGTCTTTTTTTCTGTTTCTGTTGTGTTTGTGTTTCACTTCAATTAATACACATTCTTGCGTACTTTTCATAAGACTACTTATTGCTGAAAACCTGATAGAAAAATAACCGTGCGAATTACGAAAGGCACATAGGAAAATTAAACAAAAGTATTAGAAAAAAAGATATTTAATTCAAAAGGAATGTCAGCCAGTCACTTGTTTTAATGTAATAATACATTTTATCAACATTGTTGTTATAAGTTCGTACGTTCCATGAATCGTACAGTGTATAAAATGTTGGTTATTTAAAAATATCATTAAACATACATATCATAAGAATAAAGTTATATTATTCTATAATGATGACATACACTAAACTGTAACAAAAAAAAAATTAAGTTTGCTAATTCTCTTTTGTGCAAACTTGAAGTATAGATCGTCAAGTTGAAATAAAAATCACTGAGACGGTATCATACTAAACCAATTAGGTTAGTTAGGAATTTATTTATGAATCATCCTTAGCATATGAATGTGAATAATATATAAAACTTCTTAAATGAAAACACTCAATGATATAAGTTTTTAATATCAGAGGTAGAATGCAACACATCCTTAAAGCCATTAAAATATTAATAAAATAGTTCTAAGAGAAACATATGAATGTTAAGAACATGAATATAAAAAGTGTTAGTGGCACTTTTACATTTGATGCAATGTTGCATCCATCACTGTTGCATGTGTAAATACATGTTCTGTATTCTAATTTGTCTCCTGGTTGTGCCACATAGTTGCAGTAATTTCCTAAATCTAGAGATGAACAAAACCTTTTAGTGCTTATTCCACCTGAAAATATTATACACAATTTAGTGGTTTGGAAAAACGTACACAATATTGCAAATAACAAGTATGCAACTGAAACTCACCATATGAAAGCATTAGTAAGGTGCCCTGTGCCATCTTCAAACAAGTCAGTGAGTAAGAGGTGTATTGTGTTAATACTTATGAAGCATTTTTATTAAATAAGCATTACCCTAAACTCTTAATAAAATAAAGATCATAAATACTGTATTAATTAAGATCCATTATAAGTTAATATTTATAGATCTTTTAAGGCATATTCAGTTAATCCAATTTAACATATTAATACTTCAGCAGTAAGCTGAAGCATTTTTGGGAACTTATAATAGTACAACTATTTATTATATCAAAAAATGGATGGGGAAATTTGTCAATAAAATATAGATTTTCTTATTATTCATAATGACAATACACAAACTGAATTTGAAGCTGGTTCAAGGTTTGTAAACCATAGAATAAACAATAAATATTATACGGTTTTAGATCTGATTTTTTTAGACAATTAGCATCAGATCTTTAGCACCCATATTTTGATACCAAAAAAACTACATATAATAAATTTAACATATACAAGATTACTATAAATATATTATCATATTAAAAGGTATTGAAAATGAAATAAAAAAGGCTTGTTAAATAATTACTAAGCAGAAACATTCCAAATGCTTATGTTTTAGTGTGTTAGTAAGAACCTGTCTGTTTAATACAATATTGAGCATCGTAAACATGGCTGCAAGGGGTTGCTTCCAAAATGCCACCATCCAAATTTATTAGGCCATCACCGCATTCGAGAGAAGATGAATTACATTGGAAACATTCAATTGCTAAACCTATGTTAAAAATAAAGCCTTTAGTTTGTTATGTTATCATTATTTGATTGATTCAAATGCCCAAGGTTAGAAGACCCCATTATTCAATGATACATGAATAGACCAGAGTATTAATTAAATTACTCTGTCTCACCTTCGTATCTACCGACATGTTTAATACAATATTGAGCATCATGAATTGTAGCACAGTCAGTTGGCAATATATCTGTATCGCTGTCTAAAAATTCGTTACATTCAAAAGGATTTTCAGAATCAGTGCCTGAACACTGATAGCAATTTATGGAGTTAACTAAAACGGAAATACAAAAATAAAAATTACAAATTTTTAGGGCGTTGTTACAATTTCGAAAACATTTTCTCACCTGAATTTACTGTTAGAACTAAAGATATTGTACAAATAAAAAGTATCTCCTTAATTATTTTCATCCTTATTTCTATGTACGTTGCAGTTTCTCTATATAAAATAACATCTAAAAAAGTTTGTTTGAAAAGTTATTGATCGCAAACTTTGAAGTTTGAATTGAACTATCAAACTATTTGATTTGACAGTTCATGAGTTTAAGTTTAAAGCAGGGTTGGATTTAGGTATGATGAAAAAGATAAATATAAATAATAATATAATTTTTTTACAAACACTATCCATTTGTAAAAAAATTATAGTAAACTATATATTTTTGATTTTAACAAGCATTAATTTACTCTACCAAGTTTATCAATTCATCAATATTAGAATTTAATTTTTTTTAACATTTTTAACAAATTAGTCGTCGAACTGTCGATTTTAATTTCACAACAATGGCGTAGCTATCGTAGGTGGTGCAGTGCACTAGGGCCTCCTCTGACTTTTAAAAAGAAAGGAGCAGCTAGCTCTCGAATCTAGCAAACCTCGGAATATTAACAATAACAGAACTCCTAATGACTGACTTGACCCGACTTTCAACACACGCGCCAAACGTCTTTGATAAGCATGTACTATTTTTAACCATTATTTGATTAAGTTCGTTTGTAGCACATTGGATCAGCGATATGCGTGCTGATGGTCGAGAGATCAATTCCACCCATCAACTTTTTATTAAGTTTTCATTTGCCTTTACCTTGCATGTGCTCTTATCTATGTATGATATGCATTGTAATGTATAGAACGCATTGAACAGAGGATAATAGTTGATGCAGAGTGTATACGTTCCCGTTGAAGTTACCAGACATTCTATCAGGCGCGTCCAGGCGTGGCAGGGGCGGCGTTCTGGGAGTCCTTTTCAGGACTCAGGGACGTCCAAGGACTTGATGTCCTCGGAAGAAAGCCTGCAAGGCGAGCCTTCGTTGCTCCCAGTATCTCTCTCTTGTGAGAGGGAACATGGGATGCAACAAGGGGGGAAATGTGCGTGATGTATGAGAGGTGTGTGCTTTGGGGGTAGGGCGAAACAGGTGAGTAATAGGTGAGTAAGCGTGAGGAAGTTCCCGAGAGGGTGATTCTCGCGGAGTTTGCCAAGTGCACTTGGCTTTTACCAACACCGAGCGATTTCGGTACTCAGCTGTAGGTATCGTGGATCGTGTCTCGCGGCCAGCGGCAGAACTGAGGGTCTTGCCTTAGCCGGCCGGACCGCGAGGAGTAAACCTCAATAAAAATCCGGAAATTTAGACGTTGCGGTGCGAGAACGCGTCGTCGCAAGTATACGGCGATAGAGGCTTGAGCTGGTTTGACCAAATCTATGCTACGACACTTGCGTGACACACATCGCATTACCTCTCAAAGATAACAGACATAGCATGTTCGCCGATGCTTCCCCTATAAACAACACGCTCACGTGGCAAGTTGAATCGCTGATCTCACGCTCTCTTCCTGACGGACTTCCGCTTACGCGAGAACTCCTGCTTCCATGATGAGGCTTGGGGAGCCTTCAACATAGGCAGCACCCCCATCAAAATACTCGAAAACCATACCGTTGGTTACCCAAAACCTCACCAACTCATAATGCCGCCATTGTAGTAGGGAATGGCGCACATCAACCAACTGGCCATTGCGATTTTAGTAGCGCTACGCGAATCCGCTTCCTGATTGAGAAATTCAAATTTTGTTACGATTACGAATAGGACAAACTAAGAATCAGATTTCATTAGTTTTCCTTAGTACTTTGGAAAACTTACAATAAGTAATAAAAAATCGGGAAATGTAGTTGAGGGGTTATACTTGTACTTTCCGTTCCGATTATAATATTTTTTAGGGTTGTTGACTCTAAAAACCGTGCGCACTTGTCACCAAGATCAAATTTGAATCTAAACAAAATTTTGTAAAGGTACATTCTTTACGTGTAAAGTTTTTAAGAAAATTATACTAAATCAGCTTCTATAACATTTCAATAAAAATTGCATAATAAGTAGTTTGGCTTCACCAATGGGCGCTCTAGGGCTGACGCCGATGTTGCACTTGTAAAGCACATTTTTTTGTGCATGGGAAGATTCCGCTATAGGGGCTCTTTGTGATCTTTCAAAAGCATTTAACTGTGTACAACACGAAACATACGAACACACGATCAAAAAGAATGCACAATAAATTTCTTAAATCACATTTAGAATAGATAATTAGGAAGATACACCTAAATGGAACAAGACTACAACAAGTAAGACATAGAGGATGGACTTTATAACAAATAAAACTAAGTTGTGAAAATAAAAAAAATCAGTACAAATAAAATTTTGAATGATTATATTGCAATAAAAATCCCTAAATGTTGCTATAAATTTTGAAACTATTTATTTATTATTTAATAATCTTATTAAACAATATAAAAATATGTCTTCATAATTGTTTTATTTATTCGAATAAAATAATTTCAATATCATCGAGGTTAGTATATTGGATATTTTATTTGAGGAATATTTAATAAAGAAACGGGATGTTGTGTTTTTTGTAATCATTTTATTTTTAAACTCTTCCAAATTTTCAGTTATAATAATATTATATCAAAGGTATTATAAAATAAAATGATAAATTTCTGAATGTTGTGTAATGTTAAGTAGATTCTTACTGAATATATTTATAATACAAACTATGAATGTTTCACTTATATAAGAAATAAGGTCATAAATATCTCAAATCCTGTATACACAAACATCTTACAAAACATTATACAAAATACAAACATACCTTTCTTAATTTAGGTAATTATAAAATAACATTTCTTAAATTTACCAAAAAATCACAATTTGCATGAGCTAAAACTTAAGGACCCATGAGAACTTAATTTGTACATTATTATCCTACTTTAAATGCTTTAGCTTTACATAAGTAGCTCTTAAATGTATCGGCAGTAAAGATAAAGATTCAATAAACAATTATTATTGTCAGTAGGTATTTTACCTTATGCTAATTTTATTTTAACATTTTAATCACATAGAAAAATGAAAGGACAAAGATAGTGGATGGCATTGAATTTTATATACTAGATATGTAAAAAGATTTTTAAAAAAATAAATTCACTATTTGTTAATCTCTTAAATGTTATTAAGGTCGTGTAATGAAATAAAAAATATCTTTATGTTTAATGAACATGCACAAAAATAATAAATAAAAACAAATCTTATATTTTTGAGAGTATTCCAATACATTTTTTTTACACAGCGCCACTATTAAAAAAATATTAAAGTTCTGCTGGAAATAAAAAAAAGCTTTCGGGACGCCACAATAAAAAAAAAGATGTTTTCTTATTCAAAACAAATTGATTTCAAACAGAAATGGAGACATAATTCAATAACAATTATGATGTAAGTACAAATAAATTTAATACAAATCAAGTATTAATAGCATGGAATGTTGTAAATTGAGTATCAAAGTATTGTAGGTACGAAATGTGATATTTAGTTGTTCAGCTGCGGCCTCAAAGGAAGGGAGCCCTCCACCCAGAAGTTCGGTCGCTGCATCATCGTCTGCCACAGGGCCACCTCTTTCCCCATGCTGTCCATCCAATTCACGCTCGCGCCCATATATGTACCTAAAGTAAGTAAAGTAAATCAGTCTAAATAAGTTCCACTGCTGGGCAAAGGCCTCCTCTGTATTAGGCCACAGTACACCACGCGATCCCACAGCGGATTGGCGGATTTCACGTATCTTCGAAATATTTTTTTTTTGTTATTATTTCGAAAATATTCAGGTTTCCTCAGATGCTTTGTTTACCGCTGAACTTAAAATTAATAATTTACTTGGTGCTGGCACCGAGATTTGAACTCAGGTTGCTCGAGCATATTAATTAAAAGCGAGGACACTGAGCTATCACAACCCTAAGTTCTATCATTTTATAATTGAATTTTATTTCTCTGCACGTATTTACAACTGATAATTTCCGTTAAGCATATCAATTTGTGATAAGAAGTTCTGTGAAAAATGCAACGTGTCATTTGTTTTGCTGATTGTGTTGATTATTCGTTAATTTTCATCCATTATCTGATAACTCCGATTACATTGTTTTTTTTTTCAATTTTGTTATCTTGAAATATAATTTACCAATAAGATATAAAGTTTTAAATGGCAGAACGTACGGAAATATGCGTAATGTTTAGTCAATGGCGGGTTATTAGTTTTGGCAGACGATTTTTACCGTTAGGATCAATGTGGTATCAGGTATGAGTTGATCCAAAATGTTTATTTTCCGATGTACTAGCATTTTCTTTATATAGATTTCAAATCTGTAGACTTTTTTGTAGAAATCGGGAACATTCTGATAATATGATCATCATGGAACCGTCGAATTCTTCAGCACATTGACCGATGATAATTGAATTTGTTGCTGAGCAGTGAAATTTGTTGATGAGCAGTGAGGGGCGTACTCACCGGTGCCAAGTGACAGCCTTACAGCGCCCATGAAGTCGTTGGATGCGAGCCTGTCGCGGTCCCACAGGCTGAGCTCCAATGCGCGCGTGCCCAGCTCCTGCAAGCTGAGCCCCCGGTACGTAAAGGTGTGCTCCCAGCGGGGGCTCAGCGTACGCCGGGCGACGGACGTCTTCTGCTTCGCCAGCCGACCGCGCTCGGGGAGCAAGTAGCTGAAAACAATAGCTCGTATGTTTCTCTGGTTTTGATGAGTTTTAAAGCTTTGCTATACCTAGAGGTGTAGTGACAAATGCCGTGGTTCTGAGGTGTTTGGAATGGCGGTTATGTTTGATATATTTGAACGTGAAGTGATGACAACTTTGAAATGCGAGGCTTGTTTACAATGATGCATGATGAAGGTTTTATCAGTGGGTGTATTGTTCGAAATAAAGCAGTTATATCGAGTTTCTGTTCTTGATTTCTAGGAAATAAGTTAGTATAGTAATAGTATATTTCTTTCGGCGATAATTGTTTATAATCATTCAATAATTTACTCCACTCTATAATTTATGATACCGACAATCTGATACTAAGCAGACAATAAACAATACTAGTGGTCGCCTAGCTGTCGAAAATCGATCATAATTAATTTTACCTACATGGTTGTGTATAATGTTTTTATTTATTGTTTTAATGTATTTTTACGCATAATTAAAAAAATATAACTCGTGTATATAAACAAGCCTGGGAAATTTCATACTCATATAAAGTTTTCGCTTTACCTATTAATTAATATACCTATAGATTCTCAGGAGATTTGACATAAACGATGACTTTCTAAAAACCTAAAGATGACGTAACTTTAAGGCAAATGTTACCTTTTACAAAAGACATCGGCGAGACCATTGGGTTTGGTCGCGACGAGGTTCTTGGCCTCCTTGACCAGTACGTGCAGAGTGCCCTTGCCGCGGCCCGAGTTGTCCTGCGACTCGAACTTGAGACCCACTATCAGGTCGCCGCGAGTGCCTTGGTGCTCGTCAAACTGTTCCGTCTGTAAAAATATAGGGAGTAAAGTTAGTAAACACAATTTAGCTGATAATAATATATGCGAAGAGTGGATGTTCACTTTATCATTTGCGTTCGTCTTCTAGGCACGTTGAGGTTAGCGCATTCAAATTAAAACCCTGGAAAAAAATGTGTAGGCTCAGTTTGAAATACCATTATTACAATAAACTAACCATTCCTCTTGTTTTCATGTATACATGAGTAAATGTTTAATTCTTCTGCACAGAGAGTAGACGATAACACATTCATACTTCTAATATTATTGTCCGTCAGTTGTAGGCTAAGTGCACATCTGCCCTGTAATCCCGGACTCATAGAATAAGGTTAAGGTACGGTGTCGTAAGGAGATACAAGGTTCATGGACAGCTGGCAAGATGCTATCGTCGCAAAGCAGTGAGAGAATTGGGGAGGCTTCCATATTTTCCCCGCAGCGTGTCAAGAGGCAGAGTATCTTTTGAAGATTACCCTCCCCCCTCCCGATAACAAAAAAGTAAGCCAAGTGTACATCCACGGCTATAGTCACGCAAACCGGTACTATCGCCGAATAAGTTGTAGGCCAAGTGCACTGTGAAGCACGGGGAAGTACCCACCCGGCTATAGTCACGCAAACTGGTTCGATGGTCGAGTAAGTTGTAGTGTACCCTGTGGACGGGGAAGCACCCACCCTTTCGTGCAGCTTGTACCAGGCGGGCGCCGGGTCGTCGAACACCAGGTCGGCGAGCGGCAGCGCCACCTCGCCGAGGAAGTCGTTCCGGCCGAACATGTCCGCGTGCCAGACGCTCAGCCACAGTGTCCGCGTGGACAGCGAGGCCAGCGGCTGCGCGAAGCTCAGCGTCTCCTCGAACACGGGGCAGAGCGTGCCCTTCTTCACCTTCGTCTTGCGTTTGCCGGCTTTGGACTTGTCTGGCAACAAGTACACCTGGAAGGGGCGTCAGTTCGATTGATGCGGGATCGCTGCTACGATTATCCAAACGCGACTGAATTCGAATGCGAGTATCCTAACGCGGAGATCGAATTGACAAGTAGGTATGTTGATTATCAATATATGACTACACTGTACACATATGATAAGGCCATTATGTCGGAATGGGCCCAGTGAAAGTTTTAAAAAATTTAAAAGACAGTCCAGTTTTATTTTGATAATCATCCGACATATATTTGATGTGAGCTTCAATTACAGATTTTCATTCTATGATTGGGCCTTAATTAAGGCCCAAATCATAAGGAATACTTATCTTTAAATTTTACACATTTTAGCTTCATGTATATCCATTTCCATTGCGTTAAAATGTGTAGTCTCTTCTTGTGCCATTAGGATTTTGATTAACTCTCGTTTAGAGAGTACATATTATTAGTTACGTTAAAATAATGACGGTGGAAGTCAATTAATGTAGCAGAAAGATAGTGCCCGCGTTTTATTAGTCAGGCAGCACGTGCGTGTCTACTGCCCACATTTACCCAGCCTATCTAAATGCAAGTATTACGTTCTTATGACACTCATATTCCAAAAACAATTGAACTGTTTGGTACAACACGTGGCTTGTAAGGTTACAAAGTTTCTTTTGCGTGGGCTGTCGTCGAGTGTACTTCGAAGCACCGCAGTTGTGCAATCAAATTTCCAGTGCAGCATAGATCACTTTTGCCTCACATCTTTATAACCACTACGCTCTTTGATGGCTGACGTCGACTTTACTTAGAAGCAGGGTACAGTGAAAGCTTTACAGTCAAATCATCTGCGCTTTGCTTCTCACCTTTAGAATTATAGTGATCTATACATAAAATATCAATTTTTGGGATACGTAAAATAAAGATTTGTGCACTTATGAACAAACGCGGCGATTGGAGGGGAGTGAAAGAGAACGAAGTATACTTTACGCAGCTTTCTAAAATCAGCCCTTTATTTAATAAGAGTCGTTTTAGGTCGTCCTGACATAAAGTCAAAATCATGATTTTCTTAATAAGTTCCCTTTAATTCGTTAAAAAGGTGATGTGTTGTCCCAACCAATACATGTAGTTTACGGTCGAATGTACTGCTAGAGGTACAACAATCAGACCTGTAGTCCCGGGCTCTCGGAATAGAATAGGACTCGGGTATCTCCTGCCTGTCGTGAAAGGCGACTAAAGGGGACACGGATTGGCAGCAGTTCGAAGTGGCCTCGAGTTGCAGCAAGATGGCGAGGGAATCGGGGAAGGTTTACCCTTCTCCGAGGCGTGCTCACGCCCAGTACTGAGGTACACCGGTGCGTTCCATGGGAGTTCCCGGGGTCTTTCCAAACGTACATAAGGTGGCCACCGAGGGGGTTTTAGTGGGTAAGAACCCCACATAAACCTGTCAAAGATACCCCTTTTGCAGATTCCCCCCGATACCAAAAAAAAAAAGGTGTACTACACTACGTACCTTGACGTAAGGATCAGAGCGGTTTCGTTTGGTGTCCACTGGCGCCAGGTCGCGGCAGCGCTTGACGCCCACCTCGAGTGCGCCTAACCTGTAGTTGTAGAGTAGCGAGAACTGCACCTCCCCCCTTACGGTCACGCTACCACGGGCCCCCTCCCCCGCGCCCGAGTACACCGACGCCATAGACTCGGAGCGCGCCTGCAATAACATTCGGAGGCTGAGAATAGCTCAAAGTCAGAGTTAAAGTGCTACAGTTTAGGATCGTTTTCGGAAACTTATTATGAACACCAAAATATCGCATCCACTGGCTTACAAAAAAATAAGGGATAGAACGGGAAAGAAAATCTGCCGTGGAACGTTCATGTTTTACAAATGGTGAAGTTGCCAGAGGTTACAAGTCCTCTGGCAACTTCACTACATGGTGTGATATACAATGGTGTGATATATTCTATTTAAGGCTAATTTAATTTATTAACAACATATAATAAATGCTAATTTTGGTTTTTCGAATAATTTCCAAAAATTAGTACGTTTGGTGAAAGGACTCACTTAAAACTACCAGCGCCCTTTTTGTAAAATCACAATAAATTTCCTAATTAAGTAAATCATTATTTGGAAAAGAACCCAAAACAACCATACGTTTGAAAAACATAATTATATACGACATACAAAATTGGACTTTTTTCATTATTCAACCCTGGTAGATTAATCATAAAAGTTCCTATTAAAATCGGTTATTGAATAATATATGATAAAATTCTCTCGCGTAAGAATTATCGTGTATGCAAACGTGATATAGCAGCATTATTTAAAACGAAAAATTATTGTGCTTAAGTGAAAGACAGTGAATAATTAAAACACAATAAAAGTAAAACCAATAAAATCAAAAAAATATAGAATATATTGTTAACAAAACGCAATTGACTTTAAATTGCTATTGGATTATAAGAAAATAATTTCATAAACATTGTGTTAGATAACTAATGACACTCACTTTGTTACATTATTTTGGCGTTGTTGCGTTTAATATACAGTAAAACGGACACAAGCATAGGTGTTCAGTATAATAAACTTTTAAGAGCAGTTTGGAAAAGACACGGCGGACGTAACATTGCGTGAACGTCGCACCCCCGTTCGCAACTGAGCAATGGGCGTATGGAACACGAGCGTCGCTATTGTTTGCTCGCATTATCTCGTCATTCGATACGCCGTTACAATGACAGTCGCCACATTGTTTTTAACTCGTTTTAAACACATTATTCCGAATAGTTGAAAGTCACGTAAATGTAGTAAGTATGGTGTCGTCTCATTCATGTTGGTTAATCGTTTCTGTTCACACGTCTGTCCCACATGGAGTATCCATTTTCCATTTTTTACAGACACATTGTAGTGATACATACACTATACAATATTATACCGCGCATTTACAGCATTCAGATCTTTTTAACATACAACATAGGAATGGACAGATATATGGACTCTGCTCATTCTAGTACTGTGGAAGATGATATATTGCGATTAATAATGTTATTTTTTGGATACCTTAGAGCTAAATACCATTTTAAAGTTTAAGTTATAATTTATATGTGGAATATACCTACACTTTTGAAAATTAAAGTCTTTTAAAAACAACTTAAGAAGCAAGATAAGCAAAAAGCAAAAAAAGTGAGGTGTTTTCGATAAGTAATATAATCTCAAGTCACCACTGATCTCTTAATATTGATAAAATTTAAACTGTATAGAAAAAAAAAACTGATTGATGTTGTGTTCAAGTTATTTTATCGAATAACATATTTCATTAGTAAAATATACTCTTAAATCCAAAGTAGTTACTTTGGTTGACCATGGCCGAAACAAGTTCCATTAAGAAAATTTTCTGATATGACATGACGTTAATGTATCAGACAATCAGAAAGAAACATGACAATTTGTAGTTAGTGCGTCATTAAATTTGCATATATATGGTATGTTTGGCTTTAAATTTTGTTTTTATAAAGATCATAAGAGTAAATCAAGGAGGAATCTTTGGTGAAGTGGAAACTAATAATAATATTAAAGTTGTTTTTGGCAGTTCAGTATCCGGGTGGTTTTAATGCTCGAGGGAAATCGGACACTGCCGTAGGGCCACATAGCAGCAAATTCAAATTCTAAATATCTTTATTCACATAGACGCTTGCGCGTTCTTATGAAATGTCAAAATTTTATTCTTATGAAATGTCAAAATTTTACATTAAAAATTAATACGTTCTTAAGTAAATTACCACCGGTTCTGAAAGATGCTCTTTTTTAAAAAGATTAGTTTTTTTATGTGAAAAGTTGCTAAGCGAGCAGACGGTTCACCTGATGTTAAGGGAATACCGCCGCCCATGGACATCTGCTACACCCAAGGGTTGCAGATGCGTTGACAACCTTTTGGAAGTTGGGCTCTGGCCACGCACCAGTCGAAACGCGATTCTTCAATACCTCCATTTGACGCCGATTTTCTGTCAGGTCGTGGTACTTACCCGGACGAGCCCGCCCATTCGTGCAACAGCCGAGGCTGCCGCGTAGCCGTTTTTTTATTTTTTTTTTGTATCGGGGGGGAAATCTTCCAAAGAAACCCTGTCACATTACATGACAGGGTTATGTGAGGTTCTTACCCACTAAAACCCCCTCGGTGGCCACCCTCTGTACGTTTAGAGGGACTCCGGGATCTCCCACGGAACGCACCGGTGTCCCTCAGTACTGTGCGTGAGCACTCCGCGGAGAAGGGTAGACCTTCCCCGATTCCCTCACCATCTTGCAGCAGCTCGAGACCACTTCGAGCTGCTGCCAATCCGTGTCCCCTTTTAGTCGCCTTTTACGACAGGCAGGGAATACCTTAGTCCTATTCTATAAGCCCGTGACTACAGGGCTGAAGGGGCGGCACGTCCGTTTCTGCCGCCCTGGCGCCTTCGTCTTCGAGCGGGATCAGCCCTCTCCCGTTCTCGTTCAGCGATCTCCTTCTGGAGCATAATAGCTTCGCAGAAGGAGACCAGTGCCGTCCAAGTAGATTTCTGCACCAGTGCAGCTGACACTGCGACTTGTGGAGAAAGGTCTTGCCCGATCTTTTGGACCAGGATCCGACGTGCCTCTTAGCGCTACCACCGTAGTTTACGATATACATAGTAGATATAATAGTACAGGTATAGTATAAGTCTTATTTTAGCCATACATGAGTATCAAAAGTATTAACTCCACACATTGGCGACGTCAAAATTTTTTTTTTCATAACGATAATATTAATAACTGAGGTAGATCATGCTAATTTACTCATAGTTACATATTTCTTCAACTAAAATTATAGTAAATAGGCACTAACATCGTTCAAAATTTCAATGCCAACACCAGGATATGGTAAGGTCGATTGAGTAAAATGTATTTTAAACATAGTTCCCGGACACTGGACTACCAGAACATTCTACATACAACGTATTGTATATTCACTTGCATTTTATTATAGATAAAAGTAGTTTATGAGTACTTCATTTAAATATTTAAATTAATACATATTTAAGGAGGCTGACGATTCACAGGTAAATCGAAATTGCCGTGTTTTAGGTTATAATCAGGACGAAACAAGTTTGAATAGATTAGAATAGAAAGCTGATTCAATTTAAAATACCTGTTAATTTGTTTAAGCAATTTGTTATCAATAAATATTTACAATAAATATCAATTAACAGAATTATTAAAATACTTCTAATTATGGTTTAGATAGTTTGCATTATACGACGGAGCATTCATAACAATAAACATTTTATATCCGGTGTTACAATTCGTTTTACTAAATAGTAAAAAAATACCACCAGACAGCACATGGAATTGGGTAATATTATATTATATCGTTTCTACCCACACTGCGTCCATACATGGGATTAATGTTACAACATTTCGTATATCTGTCCGCGATATGGCTTGGCCTACCTACATTTTACCTTCCGTTTATGTCTAATGGCTGCATTTTTAAGGCCTTTTAATTGCAAAGCTCGAAAACACTTTATTCCATTAGCATATTATACATGTTTAAAGTAGCCAAGCCTTATGAATTTTATTAGTATATCCAACAATGTTGTTTACTCTTATTTTATTCATAATTAATTTAGCTTTGAATTAGCATATCAATTTAAGTTAATCAACGTCGAAGCCTTCTTAATAACGAAGGTCATTTATTTGAAAAGTAATTGTCAAGTACTTATCAAGGTTTCTTATCCGCGTTTAATACATTGAAAGATAACGCATTTGTAATGAATTGTTCTAATAAACTCTGCAGACGTATTAACAAAATTTATATCATTCTAGCTGGAGTAAATCTGTATGTAACTTTCATGTGTAAAGGAATCGACAAGCCCTACGCGGGCTATGGAAAATAACTAAACTGGGTACATTCGGAATCAACCGTTTGCAAATCTCGTTCGCAGGCCGTGTCGCAACTCTGTACTGGTAACATAATACGGAGTCCATAGCGGCCTCCGAGACAATACCTGTTCGGTATTATGGTTACTTCGCTCTTTCGGGATCTAAGGCCCCGGAGTCACCTTCTTTTGTAGCTCATGGCCTCTTAGTTATGAGTCCGATGATTTTATAAATGAACGAATTTATTGTATGGCATCAAAGAAGATTACTGTCCATACAGAAGTCAAAGTAAAAGAAAAAAGAAAAATAAATAAATTAAAAGAGTATGAATAAAGGCGGGAAAATTTGTTTATAGAATTAATTTGCTCGATATGTTTGGGAGACCATAACACCCCTTGGTTGGGCAAAATATATTAGCACATGCTTAGACTTAATAATAATAAAGTTTTTATTGAAATTTATAGATATGACGTGATATTAATGTGATAACGAGTAAAAGTTATTTTTACCTGGAGGCCGCTTCTGTTGATCGGGAACCGATCTCTATCCAGGTCTCTGTCGTGGGGTAGCGGGGAACTGGAACGCCGCGGCAGCGTAGCGTTTCCGGATGAAAGTGTGTCCGACATGTACACCTCATCTGTAAACAAATAGAATTCGTTTATAACACGACATTATAACATTGTAACAGTATTGGTATACATTTTTAATGGGAGACGTTTTCTAATATGTCGTAATATGATATTAAATAACTTAGATTTTCCTTCTCACAGACATCGGTTCTTTTGTTTGCTGTACAACATATTAAAAAAAATGAATGTTTATTTTTTTTACTTTACTTTAAGTTATCCTTACGTAGACATTGCTGCAGGCCAATTGTATCGTTTACATCGTACCGCGTAGGCAAATGCAGCAACTTTAGTGGTTAAACGTATTTTATGATCTATTTCAGGCGTGCTATTTCAAAATTATATACAATCAAAGCAAACGTGAAAAAAAATATATATAATTGGTGTTCAATTATGATAGGTGTAATTGTAAAAGGTATGAAGTGCAATGAAGAAAGAAATGGTCTAAAAACGAAAAATTTTGTGTCAGCATAGTCAGCCACAGTGCGTGCGCAAAATATTCGCAAGGCACTGATACCATCTACTCGCAATTCAAGCCACTCGTCACTTTTGACGAGGCGACATCTTTTGCCCCTCGTCAGGGAATTATCGCACCACTCCAGAGATTTCAGGAACACGTCACGGCACGAGAGAACTTCACGGATGAAAGACATTTTCTCACCAGTTCTTAACGTGCTGCACCGGCTATCGACTTCAATTTCTTTTTGCTGGCCGCTTTGATTCACGTGTCTTTTATTTAAATTTTCTGAACATATTTCTCGTTCTTTGGTTATTAAAAGTTTAGTCGTAGACTTTATGAATTCGATGTCAGCTACCTTTGCCGTTATCGAGTCGATTGAATCATGATCACTCGTTTTTGTTATAATTGAGTTAATTGTTGAATCATTATCGATTGTCCGGGTGATTGTCACCGTAGGCACAGACTGCGTGGACTTGATTTGGTTACTTAATGTGTAACTCCTTCCAATAGGCCCCACCAAAGAAGAATTGGGATCTTCTATTGGAGAATAATCTTCTTCCCCAGGCACAGTTTGAGACCAGCAACAGCACCACTTTCTGAGACACTCACGCATGTTTGTTAACTTATTTGACGCGCAACTTTCAGTTTTAATATCGTAAATATTAACAGGCTCGTATTGGTAACGGACGATAACTGATTTATATGGCGGACTGCGACTATTAAGCGATAAATAGTTCGAATCAGATTTGTGGCTTATTAAGGCACTCATTTTTAATACACCCACTGTTTACAACGCAACTGAAACGGAGCAAATGAATTGACTTTATGTAGATTGAACACAAAATACTCATTTTATCGCGTCCTGCTCGCTGGGTTGTTTCCTGTTGTTTAGTACTCGCGATAGTACTCTCAGATCGAATACAGTGTACTCTCGATAGTACTCTCAGATCGCTGATACAGTGCGCTGCATCGAATACACCGTGCAGGCAACAAGGTTGGGCTAGTAATGTTAGCGAGTAATTATTACAGACCATTACGTGGCGACAAGTGTTCGTCAAAGTGGCATCATCGCTAACGAATATTGAAACTTACAGAGTATAAAAGTAAAACAGTTACAAAATTACCTTGAAAGCTCAGAGCTTTCGGCGGTGCAGATAATGTATTCCAACGTATCGATTTTGATGGCGATTTGAATCCAGCATTATTAACATCCATACTCAAAGATTTAGAAGTACTTGTTGTTTTCAGAATTTTTTTTTCAGATATTTTGTTTAGGGAAGATAAAGACGTTTTAAACTTTTGGTGTTCTAATTTATTATCCAATTTGTCTAAATTACCCGAAATTGTCTTGGTTGCAAGGTCTGTTTCAAGTTCCTTATTAGTTATTTCGTTTTCTTGTAAATCTTGTACCGTTCCGGAAGATCCAGCATATCCGGATTCTGAACCATTATAACTAGTATTGTCAGCTTTTTCCATATTTCCTACTATATCTATATCTTTACTATCCAATGATTGCGATATTTTATGATTAGCTGCCGTTTCATTTCTGATTTTTTGCAAATCAGAGCTATATCTTCTGGATATTATAGGAGAAATTTTACTTGCTTTTACAGCTGATAATCTTTCTACTGATTCAAACTTTGAAGCCAGCATTTTCACTTTCTCATTAGAATACGGCAAATTGAGAGAGCTCGTACTGCCTGTATTCCTTTCTAGCGAATTCTTCTCGTCATTTTTGGTCAGAGACTGTTTTTTCAATTTGGATCGTGGTATTTTAATTGGCATTTTGACTATTTCATTAGTGGACGTTTCTATTGGCCTCTCGAATATTAGAGAATTATGTGAAACTATGTTTTTACTGTCAGCATAAGTCTTCTCAGAAACAGTCAAATCCGCAAAGTCAGTTATACTTTCATCAATGTCTTTATCAACAATGTCAGAAATATTACGTTGAATTTTAGAAACTATACTTTCACTACTTTTTGGTGTAGAAGTTTTTGATTTTTCTTTCAGGTTATTACACAAACTTTCCATATTTTCATGCAATAAATGTTTACTTGTCTTATCCTTGTTTTTTTCCATATCATGCTTTATTGGTAAATTAAAAATATTTGTGTTCATATCTGCAATTTCATACTCATTTCTTTGGGGCATTGCTAATATTATTTCATTACGTTTTTTTCTTGGCGACAGGGATTCTTCCTGGGAAACATCGTTTTTACTTGCAAAGCTCTTTTGTTTTGATTTAGTTATATCGGCGTATTTAGCAATGGTTTCATCAATTTCCTTATCAATCGAATAATGCTCATTTAATATTTCCTTAAGTGTTGTCGATCGAATCGGCTTACCAGATTTAGAGGCATCTGTGATAAAAGAATCAGTTACTTTCTTATCTAAAGAAAATCTTTCTGTTAGTCTTTGTTTTAGTGAATTAGTTTTTTCTTCCGTCGATTCAACAGATAGAGATTTATGTGAAGCTGATTCAGAAATTTGAATGGGTGAACATACGTCTATGTTGCTATGGATGTTTTTTTTTCCTATCGACAATAACTCTTGATGCTTTTGAAAAGGTGTCTTCGAGGATCGCAGATCGTGTAAATTTCCTAGGCTATTAGTCCTATCCAATTCCAAAGATGATTTCGTTATTTTTTCTGGATTTATTATTGATATATTTTCGGAACTTTCAGGTGCAGTTACTTGACGAACATTGCATGTCTGTAATTGTCTTTGGTTTTGTTTACTTAAATTCAGTCCAGGGTCATTTCTATTTTTAGGAGTAAAGCTATCTTTAAAAATTTTTGTGTAGGGCGGAGTCAACGTTGTTTCAGTGCTCGTAACTGTATCGTGAAAGTTATGCCACGATTTGTTTGTTTGATTAAATATTTTTCGTCTTGGCCTAAAATCGGGTGTCGTACTACTACTCGATGAGGAACTCTCTGATCGACTTACTTTAACCTTTGTTATTTTTAAATCTGTTTCTGTGGATTTATCTACTTTTTCAAGGTAATTAGTAGTAAATCCGTCGGTTCCTTTTGTCGACATTCCAGGTGTATTTAGAATTTCATCCGGTAAATATGGAGTTCTTGAATGGGCATCACAATTTCGAAGGTATTGGCCAACTTCAGTGTTTTGGCATATTTTTTCATCTAACTTTTTACCGACGGTATAATGTTCACTGACTTTTTGTTTTAAAGAAACTGCTTTTGGTTTTGATAATTCAGATGCCAGGAATGAATAAAGCTTAAGTTTTTGCCTCTGCTCTTCCCTTATTTTGGACAAGGGAACAGGTTCCACATCACTGTCATCCGTTGTAAAACAATTCCAACATGTCACTTCCTTTTCCTTTTTATTTTTAGTCCTTTTAGAAGATTTGTTCACTTTTTTATCACTCATCGTTAACGTTCAAAAATATAGCTACGATAACAACCCGATTGGTTATAGCGCGAGCGTTCGACTAAACTAATTTAAAAGTCGTCAAATGTTTTTAAAGCGAGTATTGGTTTGCTATATGAATAATGTATTATTAACGACTTATATATTCAAGATACTCAAATGTTCCAGATATAAAAAAGATTACGCAACGCTTTAATAGCACAGTCTCGAACTTGTTCGAGATATTATTATAATTATTACACAACATAAATATGTGACCTTTGGTAAAAGGACTTTAGTAAAAACAAACCTTATATAAAAGGAAACAGGTTTTAATGCACACTACTAGAACTAAGTTTTATCAATATTATAATAACAGATCTTTAAAATCTCTTTAATTTACCTTACCAAACGAAAATGTCTTGATAAAAAAAGTAAGTACACTTTGGGCTTGCCGTTTTAACGCACCTCAAGCATAGTTATAATTAACCATTTATATAGGTTAGAGGTCGATTTAATTTGTTAATAGGGTAGGCGACTGTGTTTTAAATTTGAGGATTGGTTTTAAAGAGGTAACATATCGACGTATATAAAATTCCTATAAATAAACACTATACTTCACTGTGAAAAGTCATTATGATTATTTATTGTATGTAAGCATGTTATAGACTTAAGTAATCAATTAAATTAGTCGAAAATAAATAAAATGTTTGGAAAGATTATAGTCATTAGAGTATTTAATCAGTATAAATTATAATTATAATCAATTTCTGTTTCAAAATACTTTTTAACATCGAAAGATTTAGGAACAAAGAAGATTAATATATTAAAAAGTGATCATAAAATGTTTTCCAAGGCTTTTTTTTATAATAAACTCGTGATTATAATCTACAACAATTTGTCTAAAAAACTGATGAGAATTAGGAACTGCTCATAGTAAATTCAGAACAGTGAATTACAATATCCGATCGAATCAATAAGTGATTGATTGTAACTTTTATTTTAGCTAAATGTTAGAATGACGGGAACGGAATGTGGCTACATGTAGTTCCCGTATATCCCGGATTTCGGTTTAACACTAAACTTTTGCTCACCAGAAAACCCATAGTATAATAGAAATTTTAAAGACCTAAGATTGATGATTTTAAACATAAAAAAATTTATTGAATTTTCGTTAAG